GCCACCTTAGGTGTACGTGGCTGGCGCCTTAGCCGGTTGAGCTATAGGCGCTGAGCCCATCAGGGGTTTTAAAACCAAACTCAGAGAGGGCAGCGCCTGTGGCTCAGTGGGTGGGGCACCAACCCCATATACTGAGGATGGTGGGTTTGAACCCAGGCCCGGCCAAACTGCAACAAAAAATAGCCAGCCCGTTGTGGTGGGCACCTGTAGTCCCAGCTACTTGGGAGGCTGAGGCGAGAGAATCACCTAAGCCCAAGAGCTGCAGGTTGTGGTGAGCTGTGACACCACGGCACTCTACCGAGGGTGATAAGTGAGACTCTGTCTCTAAAAAAAAACCACTCAGACAGATACTTCAGGAAGGAAGGTTTCTACCCTCAGTCCTAACCACTGATACCAATGTGTTACAGAAAATGATGTGTAACCTGTGGGGGCTCAGATTTTCAGGGTAAAAGTGAGAATAAACCACAAGGCCAGACATGCACAGGAGAGGGGAGGAAAGCTAGTGGGATCCGGCTCACCCTTCTCCACATCTTTCTTCACAGCCTTTTAACCACCAGCAGAGAGTTAATCACTGCTTCTGCATTCGTGCACAGATAAGTAACCCTCCCTATGGAGCCAGAAGTCTTCTAAGAAAAAATGAATCACTGGTCTGAGGCTGAAGGAGGAGAACAAGGAAACCCTGTGTGTGTCCCAGGGGTGGGGCTGCCATGAGCCTTCACCCAGGGGTTATGCCCTTTCATAAAATAATGGTGGTGGCAAGTGGCAGTAGATATTTTTTACTTATTTAATTTTATGTCCTTACTTAGCAAAATTAAAAGTTGGCAATCTTACTTGGTTCCCAAGAATTCTTTTGAAATTTCACAGGCCAGTGAAATTCTGATGTCTGGGAACAACTGAGCTCTGCACAGGGAGGACAGGCAGATGGGAGGGTGCAGGAGGAGGGCGGGCCAGGAACACAGAGCAGAGTACTTTAGACCAGGGCACAGGGCAAAGGGGCGTCCTCCAAGGCACTGGGCAAGAGGTGCATGTGGGAGGCTAAGTGGGCATGTGGGAGGTGGTAGGACAGCCCTGGAAGGCCCTCTGCACCAACTCAGGAGCTGGAGCCTCACCTGCCTGTTTGTGACTTAGAAAGATGCCTGAGGCAGTGGCATGAAGGATGCAGGGGTGTGCACACAGGCAGGAGACCATCCTGAGTGCTGACTGCAAGAGTCTACTGAGCTGAGCTGAGCTGAGCTAAGAGAGGAACTGTCCGGAGTAATAACCAGGCTCCCAGCTCAGCAGCAGGGAGGTTGGGAGGACTGGTCAGTGTGTCTGGCTTGGATCCTGCTGAGAATGTGGTGAGGGAAGGAGGATGTAAGCACAGGCTAGACCAAAGGAAGATAGGAATCCAGAGCTCAGGAGACAGGCCCAGCTGGAGATACAGGCAAAAACAGTCACGTTGGCATTTATCACACACTTGCACGTGCCAGGCCTGTGCTAACCACTCCCCATCTCATTGTCCTGTGAGGCAGGGCTAGGGGTTCGGCAGGGCTAGGGGTTCAGTAGGCGTTATTACTCCCACTTGACAGACAAGCAAACTGAGCTCCGTGAGGCACTTCCCCAAGGTCAGGCTAGCAAGGGGCAGGCCAGCAATTCAAGCCAAGGCTATCTGGCTCCAGAGCCAGAGCCCCTACAAAGTGGGGGCCGATGGGTAGTGAAACAGCACAGAAAGGGAGTGCAGTGGAGTCACAAGGAGGGGTGTACACAGAGACCTCTCCAGAAATGTGTGACCAAGGCTCTTTAACCCCAGAAGGTCCACTTTGGGGTGCTGAGGAAAGGGACAAAATGAACTTCCCCAGAATGGATGGACAACGGGCTTGAGAAGATGATACTGAGCTACAGGGACTTAGCCCAGGGGACCTCCCTCTTCCCCCAAAGAAGGTCCCTAGCCTTGGCTTCAGGCCATCCCCTCAGGTGTGAATCAAACTTGTAACACCTCCTCCCTGGTATGGTATGAATGCATTCTTGGGAAATACTAGAAGGAGTTAAAGGGATTATTTATAAAGAACAAAAAACAAACCCCTTATGCCTAGTGGGCTTTTTCCAGGCACTCTGGCCCATG